GATTTTTAATAATAATAATAATAATAAACGATCACGTGGGCGGTTACATCTCGTTTCCATTTTAATTTCAATATATAGGGAATAAGTTTTACGTAATTGAACCGAGTTAATGATTTTCCAATTTGCACGAAGCTTTGTCATTATCTACGTATCGTCTTATCTATTTATAATTTCTGATTTACAGAAATTAGAATATCTCCGATCTTGCCGAGCATTTAATATGATAAAATTATATTTCAGAATTTTGAAATATTTTAATTAGAATTTATATAACCTTATATAAATAATAATTGATCTTCTTCGTAGTTCGTCTTTTAAAACAAGTATCAAAAAAGTATAAAAAGAATTTTTATTTCCATGATATTGCACGAAAAGTAGTGCAGGTTTAATTGGAATAAATCATAGAAAAAGATAAATTATAAAATGTCGTAAAAATTTTTCATAATGAAAGTTACATTTACAATACAGTTGAATGTAGTAAATGAAAGTAGAAAACTCTTCAAACATGAGATTCGGCAAAGAGAAACGTTTAAATATCGATTAACTTTCACTCGAGACGACGGATACGAGAATGGTTTAGAAAGAAGCAACGAAGGGATAGTTATATCTAGGGAAAAAGAACTAGTCTGGTGAAAATTTGCCGCAAAGTTGGATAGGATAATTCCCTCGTATAATTAACTCATTCATGGTCAACCATGGAGTAGGATAAGACGATTATAGCAACAAATTTCACGCTCGAATTGAATCGATCGATCGAAACATCTTCGAGTGACCGAGTACCTGCACGTTAGACGCTTTCCCTTACGAATGGCACGAATATGTGGTGTGAAAACGAATACACGAATATACGTGTATCAACGAGGAAAGTATGAAAGTAATGGTGACGTGAAATCCAAATTATATTGCTTTTCTATGAAGAAATTTTTAAAAAGACCGATTAATGGTGAAATTTCTTAACTTTGAATCAGACGCGTGAATTTCTTTTGCTAAATTGTTAATTAAATTATAAAAATTAATCTAATCTTTATTTTATCGATGTTAAATTAAATTCATAAATTAATTTCTTGGAATGGAAAAGGCTCAGTTACATTTGATAAAATTTTGGATTAATTTTAATGATTTATTGCGTGAAATTTTTTATTAATAGAATACAGTTAATTTTTTTTTTTTTTTTTAATAATGGAAGTAAATATGAATAGTGTCTAATTTCATTGAGAACATAGAAAAAATACAATGTTCTCATTGGAATGGGATCCTGGCACGCGAATAATTGATTGTTCCAACTTTGTTATAACGACACGATTGTTCTTAGAACGAGCAATTATTCTTCACATTTATTTATGAACGCACCTTTTGCTGTTGCGTAATAGATCAGCCGAGATTTATTGAAACTTGGTTAGAATTGATGATTGTTTTTACGTGTAAAATTAATCCCTTCCTTTTCTTATGTTTACCTTCTTCCATAAGTATCAAGGTACCTCTGCTTTCTTGTGATAATTGATCCAAAATCCCCCCCTAAAAAAAAAAATTATATTAAAATATATAGTTATAAAATCTCAACAAATTTATTAAAACAACATTAAACTGGAGAAAGCGCCATAATTCTGATACGAATAAAAATTCAAAAATCGAACGATCAAGTTTTCTACAAAAACTCGTTTAATTCATTTTCTCATATTCGATTTCATATTCGATAATTCAAATTCGACGATTCGATCCAAATTACATATAAATTCGTCACTAAACTTCACTACAGTGATACAAATTACGAATTGAAAATCGATATAGAATCGTGTTCGCATTTGTCTGCGCGCAAGATGGTGATTAAATTAAATTGCTCATCGTCATTAGTTCTCCATGGATTTCCCTACGTATCAAAGATACGTGCCTTGCTATTTACGTGTATTTTCGTACGTTTTATTATCGTTGTTCACGCGGAAATTGGCTTTGGAAAAATGCAGGCAGATGCTCTCCTTTCCACGATGCATGCCTAGAACCGATGTTTTCTCTCTTTTGAAACGTTGATAAATCGTAACACGTGGAGGCATAACGTTGTTCCACGCACACACCAGAAATAAATGGTCTCTCTCTCTCTCTCTCTCTCTTTCTCCCCCTTCCCCCATACGTGTATATGGCGTGGAATATAACCTAGACTCTTGAGAAACTTGTCGTTTTTGCGAAATTATCGAATGATTGGACGAATGTGATGGGTGATGGAAGAAGAATCATAGAAATTTGAATAGATGGATCAAGGTTATTTGTTAATGTCAAAAATTTTACATATTCACTTAGCCTTTTAATAATTTTTAATAATGAAATTGTATATTTGAAGGATGTATATTAAATTCTTTTTTTTTATATATATATATAAAAATAAAATTATATAAAAAATATTGAATTTTATTTCAACCAAAAATGTGGCATCTTCTAGGTGTCTTTTTCTCGATTGTGCAATCTTGTTGATTAAATTGGTGATAGATAAATGGATTATCTGATTACTACTGTAGATTTGACAGATTAGGTGGATTAAGTTTGATAAATTTTTCGACCTTTCCCGAAGATAAGATTTTTGCGTTACATAATTGATAATTAATTTCGCGAAACTTTATAAGTTATTGTTGAAATCTTATCGTTTCTCGTCTTCACACTCCGTAAATGTGCAATAATTACGTTAAAGTATATCCAATTAACATTTCGCTTAGGAGGGGAACGAGCACGCGAATCGATGACCTTCATTGTGCAACGTATAAACGCGCTTTCACGTGGAAACGTGTCGTTATAACGGGTGTTTCCTATTCGATGTATAAAATCTCGTGATTTCTCGATAAAACAATGGAAAAAAGCGTGAAAAGAAAATTTTAATATCGACAAGGTATAATATAAAAAAAAAAAAATATATAATAATTTAGCGTGTATCGTTGTATCACCACCGTTGGGTGATTAAGAATTTCGTCGCATTATTAAGTAAAAATAAAACGCTTTAACACTGGAATGGAATAAGTAAGAGAAGTAATCGTGTGTGAAACGGTGATTTGAAAATTAAAAAATTTTCCCGATTTTTCGCGTATCGACGCGTCTCAATGAATCCAGCCACCCAGGCTGGGTCTAATTATAACGCTATAAATCACGATTATGCAGCGAATGCGCGTTAATAAATAACAATACATCGCAAGGCTGTGTTTTTACTACGCAAATAGACGACCACCTCGACGCACTTGCCAAAACTTACGTAATCTTTTATCAGATACTTGCATTCGCTGGCATTCCGTAACCTAGATTTCAAAAATACACAATCAGATCTGAGAGGCGGGCAGAGGAAGCACGTGAAATGTTCGGTCGGTATTTATATCCACCGAGCCGAGTATCGTTATATTTTCGAAATTTCGAAGTCGGTAGGAAAGTTCCCACGAATTTTAATTCGCGAAGTTGCTATCAGGATTCTTCTTGATGGAAAAAAAAAAAAAACAACGATCATTCTGTGATACGATATATATATATATATATATATATGAATGATAGATGTAATATCAAATTTCGAAATAAAGACCCACTTAAAACAAAGTGGAGGAGAAATCTCGAGTCAAAGTATTCGAACGAAATATAATTTTTTGAGATATATTTTCATCCTTGAGCGTTTCAAGATTTGGTATGTTAAAGAAATAGAAGAAATAAATTTTTGAAAATAAAAGGAAAAAAGGAGGATGTGTAATTCGCGTCGAGGATATCCTTCAACGTCGTCTATCCTCACCATTTACTGTACAGTAGGATTGCTGAAAGTCTAAAGATGAGACTGATAACTAGGTAAAGCAAATAACCTTGCTGCTCTCTGTTTCATTCAATTTGTAATCCATTTTGTACGTAGAATAAATTAATATTATTTCTTATTCGAGAGAACATCGATGTTTTTAAAACATAATTTAAACATTGCTCCATAATCGAGAAGAACTTTTTTTTTTCAAAGTCGTTTAAAAATCACTATTCAGTGGTTCTCAATCCAGTGAGTCAGGAGAGTCAAACAAAAATTCAGGATTATTTGAAAAATTGGGAAACAATGTAAAATTAAAAACAATCTAAAAACTGTCGATATCATATTTTGTCACATTTATCATCGTGATGATACAGTGAATTCCACCGATACTTTTGCCAGTCAGCTTTCTGTGGCCCTGGTATTGGCATCGTGTGACACCAGCTCAGCCTCGCGCGATTAATCTGTGACGCTCCAACAATCGAAAGACTTTTTTTTTATTTTATATATATATATTGATACTTTTCTATCAATTTTACAAAATATTTTGTGTCACGTTTGACAGAGAGATGTGAACTTTTTTCACAACGTAAATTATTTTAAATTATGAGAAGAAGAAAAGTGTCGATTTCTCACTCGACTTTTATTTTTATTAAACTCACGTTTATTTCTCAAACTCAATCACAGTTATCTCGAATATACCGTACCTATTAAACATCGATGAACTGGTTCTCGCAAATGGAAGGCCTCGATGGACTTTCGAGGTAAACACGATTGCAATTTATGTTAGGGGAAGGCTATCGCGCGTCTCGAGGGTAACGTCGAAACACCCTCGAGTCTGGACGAAACTGGTTCGTCACAAATGAAAGAACACCCCTATTCAATGGGGTCGGCTCACCCGTGTAACGACGAGACTTCAAAAGAACAAACATATGGCGTCATAGAGCGAAGTAGCCTATGGTATATTCGCTATATCATTATCGATATATCGTTACTTTTTACACCAAATACCAGAAGGAATGCAAAATTTGGAATAAAATTTGTTGAACCGCATAAACGCATTTCTTCGTCGTTTCGAATAAAATTTAGGATTAATCAGGATTTGCGTTTATAGATAGATAGAATATTGCATTGCGGTCCATAGACCCTCGTCAATTGACCGCAAGGCGTAATTCGCACGCGCGAAAACCGCTAAACGTTCGAATAATCCAATATCGGATGCCAATCGTCGGGACGGCCGCGATGAAATTAACACGTGCCTGGAAAATTCTAGAATTCTTCGCTCTTAGAGATACGCGGTTTGAGAAAATATAGACAGGGACAAAGTTAGTAGCGATAAATAGGAAAAATTCTGAATGTTTTTCGTTTGATTTGTGAACAGTTATGTTTAAATATAATACGAGGATGTATGCTCGAATTGCAACGATACATTGCATTTTCGCAACTACAGTTCGATCCGTTTTAATTGGAAGAACTTGTTAACGCGTCAACGAATATCAATTGACGTGATTGTGAAAATGCACGCAATTGTATGCATTTAGCGAACCGTTGTTCAATATGATTAATACGATCAAATATTATAAATATCGGTCGATCTTGGTGGTCTTGGTGGAAATCAATTGCTGGGAATTCCACCCCCCATCGAATCTGTTATCCATAGAATGCAAGGAACCCCGATTCCTTTTGGCTGCACGCCACTTCCTCGTACGAAAATTCCCAACATCCACGTTTCACTTCCCTCCTTTCGCCCTTCCAACGTGAAAAATACCCCTCTCCAATTATTCTCAACGAATTTCTTTCTAATCCCTCTCTTCGAATCTGAAGGTCGATCACAATTAATTCTTCGGAAAATTAAAAATCATACGTTTACACAGAAAATTCTTCTCTACCACTATTCTCTCCATTAACGTACCCTTGCTGTCTTTTCCATATTTGAATCGCGTTATTTTCTAATATACATGTGCAGTGTATAAAGGAAACGTTAATTTATACGATTTATACAGGAAAAAGAGTATATTCCATGCGGAGAAATCCATGGTTGGACGAATTAATCGAGATTCACGGATGATACGCGGACTCGTTCCACTTGGAAGACTGGCGGTATATCTCGATGAGCAACGTTTGCACAAACGGTGTACGAATTTTGTGCAATCGGTGTCTCTATCGATACATTAGATCTATTAGCATCACGAGTATCGAATTCTGCGACGGCGATACCGCGGATGCTTCAAACGGGTAGTTATTTTAAGTATCGATACCGAGAAATCATTAGCTGTTGTGCTAGGGATTAATAGCGGGCGATCGAGGTTGAATGATCTAAATAAAAGTTGTATATATGTATGTATGCGATGAATTTTCTTTGTTGAAGAATTTGTTTTTAATTTTTTTGAATAGGCTTTCTGTGATAAATTATATAATTGTCTCGTTATTGGCAGTGACAGTTGACACGGATCTTGGAGTATTCGATACGAAATCGTAAATTGTAAATGTCATTATTATTGATTTTTTTTCGATCAAGTGAAATGTGTCGTAATAGCGTAGAAAATATATTAAATAATTCTTTTTTTTATTCTTGTTGATAAAGATACGTGTGACATAAGAATTAATATTAATATATTTTGTAAATAAATAGTTCAAGGGGGGGAGGAATTAATTGTTCGTAATAAACGAATTTCGTAAATAGTTTCAGGATAAAAATAGACGTAAAGAAGTATAAGGTTATTTCTTGCGAAAAAGTAATACGAAATTTACATAACCCGCTTCGCAGTTCGAGCGCTTTCAAAGTTTTCCCAAAGTTTAAAATTGAAAGTATCTGAAATATCCGACGAAACAATTTTTTCTCTTCTCGCAGAAAATGAGGGTTCATCCCCTATCGTTGGATTTCTCGGAGAACTCAGCCGAAAAACAATTGAATCCCCCGGATTCGACAGAAATTGTAAGGCGGAATCGGCTTTGTCTTCGATCCACTTCTCAAAACTCGTTTCTCTTCACCAGTTTTTTTTTCGTTTCATTTAACTTTAACCTTCTAAATCGAAGGAAAAAAGAAACGCGAATAAAATTCTTCTGAAAGAATTTACTTTTCAAAAAATAAAATAAAATGCACGTCTTCTTCTTCCACGAAAATAATCTAAAAGTAATCAAACATTTTTCTTTAAAAAGGAAAATAAAAGGTCATCAAGATCATTATATCCTTAATACAACAATCCTTAATTTAATTTTCTATCGAGGAAAAAGTGATCCAAATATATAACGTATAACATTAACATTCCACAAATTAAAATCGAGTTTTCTACGAAAACTCAGAACATCCTTTTCACTTTATGTGTCCAATCAATCGACACATCAATGGCGCCTTCAAATTCGACTCGTGTTCAACAGGGACGTCAACATCTCGCCTCCGTACGGGTTTTTCTTCGTTGAAAAAAATCCCCACAGTTTTGCCATATTATTCTTCTCTTTTTATTTTTATTTTGTTTTATTTTTTTTTTTTTCTACCCTCCCGAGATTTTTATCGGTTGTCACGGAGATACGTGTCGATGGGCCGTCACCGTGTAAGGGCGTTTATTATCGACCAGGAAAACGTTGTTTGCGATGCAGTAAGCGAGCGATGCTTCAGGAATTCGAAGTAGGCCAGCTTAAAGAAGATGCTGCGAGCCGATGCAGCTTAAGCCAGATTGCATGCAACAACTGTTTTTTGTCTTTCGTTAAGTCTCCAAGAGTTGTCCCCGAATTTTCTTTCTCTTTCTCTCTTTTATATTTACTGGATGAGATTGTAATTATTTCGATAGAATTATAATTGATTACAATCTGAATATCTGAATATCCTTCATTGTGAAATTTATTTTGATTTATTATTGTGTTTGTACAATGTATTATATGTTTGGTTAGAAAATATAAGAAATGTAAAATGTAAGAAATATTCAATGGATATATTTTTGATTATCAATTGTAATATAATTATTACGTGAAATCGATCGTGTTGTTTAACGTTATTATTCATTCCTGTTTTATCTTGTCTGTTTCAGAATTGCCGGCCGAGGAGGGTAAGTTATTTTCAACGAAAAATTTCTCCCCTCTATGACGATCGACACGGTAAGCTGTTCTATTAACAAATTGGCATTGATTTTGTCTCGAGTGTCTTGGGATAATCTCTCGTTTATCCGGATATTTTGTCGATCGAATATTTTGTGATAGAAGCAGATTCTGGATTGAAATAACTGGATTGAAAAAATATTGCAAAGAGTAAAGACACATTATATATTAATAACGTTATCTTTTGTAATCAACTCGTTCTTCGTCCTCCCCTCGGATACGTTTAAATTAAAGAAAGCAAATTAAATTTCTTTCTAACTTCTCTTCCAAGAAAAAATTCTATCGTAATTCTATCTTTATCTTAAGGCACTCCATCAACCAACCATGTTCGCATTGATGACTCACTTTAGACGTTACTACTGACATTTAAAAGAAGGGGGGGAAACGTCATGGTTCGTGCAATGCCAGTTCTTTGGCAGTTGTAAGTTCTCCCAAAGGTTTCGGATCACGCGAAATTGAGGCTTCTTTGCACATATTTGCCGCTTGACTTTACATATCTTTCGATTCCTTAGAAATTAGCTCTATAAATATATTGTTTCGAATTTAGAAAAGACGAGGTCCGAAATAGAAATTAAAATTTCAAACGGTACGATGAAGCCTTACGAGAAAGTATTAAATATCAGATCATCCTGTCTGTGATGCATTCTACTATTGAGCTACCATCGTAAAAGGTTTCTAAGATGTATGTATATATATATATATTTCTCCTCTTCTAACGTAAGTAACAACGAACGTAACAAAAAGGAGAATCAAATGGTTTAAAGCTGGCAAAGGATATGAGATCCATTTACGTTTCTCCAGAAATAAGCGCAAGATCTCAACTTTCTTAAGCGAAAGACGCTCCCCAATCTTGACAATTTTTTCATTTCCACGTATCTGAATTAAAAACTTTTTCCAACCAATGGATCCCCTCCGAATTTATCAACCTCGTTATCGTCGCACTCCTATCCTCGTTATCATCGCCTCTGATCGAGAAAATGACAAATGGTGTGACATGGATTCCGTACAAAGGAAAGGAGCCGCCTTGGAAAATGAAGCAAATTCATTTCGATCAGCACTTAGGCTGCACGCGTCGACTCGGGAGAAGGCATGCGCGACTCGATGGTTATCAAAGCACGTATCAAAGCCCCCTGGTCCGCATTACCGTGTACGCACGATTGTGGGATGGAAGGGAGAGAAAGAGAGGGAGAGTGAACGTGTCGGTCGCCATTTAATTCACCGATAATTGCGAGTTAATATTACGCTCGATTGGTCGGCGAGCCATAAGGTATATCCTTCGTTAAGGTCGACCTTGGCTTTCCAGTCTTAAGAATGGGGTGATTGCCAAGGGTACTTTGGATTACCTTCGAATCTCGATGGCTTGAAGGGGACTTGAGGTGTTAGCAGATTCTTAGTCGAGTTTGAATTGGAATATGGAATTAGAATTATTTTATTGTGATATTTGTAAAGGATCAGTTTAAATAATTGAAAATTAAAAAGATTGGTATTGGTTAGCTATTGAAATATTGAACGAATTAGTTGGATTTAATTTTTGAGGTTTAAGAAGGGATTTAAGAATTATGGACATTGAAACGAATGACTGAGAGTTTCTTAATACTTGTTTGAAAATTAGTTTGAATTAGAAAATTTTGTTAAGATGATTGAACATGTTTCTTCATACATGAGATATTAAACCAAATCGAGGTCGACTTTAATTCCGAAAACATCCAATGATCACATTATTATATATTTTTATACCAATCGTGGCTAAATAACATCTAACGATATACAAATTTGTTCGCGAAACGAATCGCTCGTAAATCGATTTAACTCGAAGAAATTATTCCGAAACTTGGTGGCCCGAAACGATTCGGTCTCTCTCTTTCTTCCAACTTCGAAATTGGAATTCTCCAAACTCCCTCATTTCGAGAACTGAATTACCGGATAATGGCTGGCTTTCGAGCGAACTCTTCGAAGTCTCGAGTTCGTTTTCGACGAGCGAAGAAAGGTGCCGATACTCCTCGTTATTTTTTCGTTTCACGCACTTCCGTTATCGCTAATTTCCTCTCCAAAGATTCATCCTTGACGTCGAGCCAACCAGCCAATCGTGGTTGCATTAATTACACCTATTTCTACAGAATGTAACCGCATCGATCTCTTGATTTTGCTTTCGGTTTCTCTCTCTTTCTTTCGTGATCTTTATCGTTGCTCGTTCCGATATCGAGCGTCATTGATCGACTAACAATATCCGTGTTGCGTAGACAAATACGGTGATGAAACTGACGCTTGCACAAGAGACGACGAAAGAGACGACTGATGACATATTGCCGTCGCGAAATCGTGTTGCGTCGTGTCACCTTGATTACCACTTCACACGCAAACTTTTCAATTCGTCGTTTCAACGATATCCTTGTCACTGTATTTTTTCCACCCCCTTTCCTTCTTCTTATGAAAGTAATTAAAATTATTTTATAAATTACCAAAATCGCATTAGAAATTTTTCCAATTTTTCTTCCAACCGAAAGAGCGCCATATTTAAAACACTAAATCGAAACATTGAAAACGAAGCGAGCATAATAATAGGCAACGTAAAGTGAATTGTGCACGGAGCAGGTAAATTGATAAAAAAGAGAGAGAGAGAAAGAAAAATTAGAGGATGTTATAACAAAATTAGAGCGAACGTTAATGTGGCCCCTGATGGAAGAGGGATGGAGGAAGATGGTCGAAAGCGCGGGAGACAGGGATGACGAGGCAGAAACGCGTTCCTATAATTGGCCGGCAATCGGATTTTCACTCGTCTCTGCTCGTAGATTACAATTAATGAAATCGTCGACCGTAGAGAGCACGTTGGAGCGACGTGACGTCAATTGCATGTTGGCAAAAGGCACTTGCCATCAAGGACGGGGTCTGCTCCCGATTATTCTTCGTTCCGCCATCTTTTTTTTTTTTTTCCACCATCTTTCTGCTCCCCATTTTCCTTCGTTCTCGTCTCTCTTTCTTTTTGCACACTCGACTGGGGGAATCGTGGAGTCAACAGGTTGTATAATGTCTTTATCCTCGATCGGAATGGCACTTCTTCTCGTTTCGCTGTTTTATCATTCGAAGGAATAATGCCAATTTGTTGCCACTTATCAGAACGATCGTCTAAAAATTGTTTCAAAAAAAAAAAAAATAATAAGTAAAAATTTAATACATTTCTGCTTGCTAAATTTCAGGAAAGTCCATATGGCAACTCGTCCTGGAGCAATTCGACGACCTTCTAGTTAAGATTCTTCTATTAGCCGCTATTATTTCTTTTGTACGTATATATTTATCAATTATATTATCGCAGATCGTACAATGATTAAAACCGTGCCCATTGACGCTTGAATGTAATTAATTTCCACCGATGCGGTGTATCGAAAAATCTCCTTTCATTTCTCATCGGTTCGATTGAAATTAACGAAATTCATTTATAATTTTTTTTCGAATACGATTTGAACACCGATCTAAAGTATTTCACGTCGATAATGATGATGATGGTAGAATAAAAATCGAAATAGAAAGGTGTTGTGAATCGCCGTTTGGAAAACGTTGAACCTTGCCATTTATCGAGGATAAATGATCGAATGCAACAACCGGCTATTGTTTATTTTTAGATTATGACGTGGAACGGCGATAATTAATAAAATCGAAGCCGTGCATTATGCTCCTCGCGAGCTGCTAAGTAATTATTAGTTAGCTTCGAAGTTGTATGTACTATGTTTACATTAAGGAGGAGGGGGTTCAAGGCTCACTTATTATAAATACATCTGGTTTCAAAGGTGAAAAAATAGAACTTATCGATCTGTCACCGAGCTGTCTGAACCCTACCCCTTACGCACGTGTAGAAATTTTTCGTGATCAATGTTGGAAATTGTGTATGGTGGTAAAAGTTTGAAAGATTTAGGATTAGAGGGATTAAAACGGAGGATAAATTGTAAATTTGAGTATCTTTATTATTTATCTTTTTATTTTTTTATTATAAACAGAGATAAATGATAAATGTCAACGACCTGTTCTTCTGTACAGGAATGTATCGCACCTTTTTGCTTCTTTTCTTTAACATATTTCTTATTGTTCAACAAGACGATCTCCGTTTATGAAAGTTTTCAAGTTTACAATACTTTTGAATCATCTTATACACATCGTATAACGCGTATTCTATAATTTCATAACTTCGTGCTCTTTTTGATCTATTCCATTGGTCGATGTATTTATGGATACGTGTCGCCGTAATTTTTTTTTTTCTTCCTTTTCTTTTTTTATTACCTATATTACGCGTTGCAAAAATTACAGTACCCTCCAAGGGTATCGATTGCGTATCTTTTTAAGGCGAACTTTTTTATTGGACCGATATAAAATTTTATCGCGGTGCATTAAAATGGTAAAAATAAATCGACAACAACATTCGTCGGCCGCGATGATTATTATTATTATTATTATTATTATTATTATTATTATTATTCCTCCACGAATAAATATACGATAAAATCGAATGTAATTGGACTATGTAATTCCCCATTAGGTATTAGCTTTATTTGAAGAGCACGAGGATGCGTTCACGGCCTTCGTCGAGCCCTTCGTTATTTTGCTCATCCTGATCGCCAACGCCGTGGTCGGTGTGTGGCAAGAACGGAACGCCGAGTCCGCGATCGAGGCGTTGAAGGAGTACGAGCCCGAGATGGGCAAAGTGTTGCGCATGGACAAGTCCGGTGTCCAGAGGATTCGTGCCAAGGAGATCGTGCCCGGCGACGTGGTCGAAGTGTCCGTCGGTGACAAGATCCCTGCCGATATCCGTCTAACCAAGATCTTCTCGACCACCCTCAGGATCGACCAGTCTATCCTGACCGGCGAATCGGTCTCGGTTATCAAGCACACGGATCCCGTGCCTGACCCTCGTGCCGTCAATCAGGTTAATAATATCACTTCTTTTCGAGAACAATTTTCTAGGAAACAATCTTTTTCAAGGATGAGGAAAGTATGTAACGTTATTGTTTCGCAAACACACAGGACAAGAAGAACATCTTGTTCTCCGGCACGAACGTAGCCGCGGGCAAAGCTCGCGGTGTGGTGATTGGGACGGGGTTGAACACAGCGATTGGTAAGATTCGTACCGAGATGTCCGAGACCGAGGAGATCAAGACGCCCCTTCAGCAAAAGCTGGACGAGTTTGGTGAACAATTGTCGAAGGTTATATCCGTAATCTGCGTGGCTGTCTGGGCCATCAATATTGGACACTTCAACGATCCCGCCACGGTGGATCATGGATCAAGGGCGCCATCTACTATTTCAAGATCGCCGTCGCTCTTGCCGTAGCCGCCATTCCCGAAGGTTTGCCGGCCGTGATCACCACGTGTTTGGCTTTGGGCACGCGTCGTATGGCGAAGAAGAACGCGATCGTGCGATCCTTGCCATCCGTCGAGACCCTTGGCTGTACGTCTGTCATCTGCTCGGACAAGACTGGTACATTGACTACCAATCAGATGTCTGTTAGCCGGTGAGTTGAATGATAGATATCTTGGATTGAGATCATCCCTCCTTGCTTCGCATGTTAATCTTAGTGAACGATTGTTACAGAATGTTCATCTTCGACAAGATCGAGGGGAACGACAGCAGCTTCCACGAGTTCGAGATCACGGGCTCGACTTACGAACCGGTCGGTGAAATATTTTTGAGAGGCAAGAAGATTCGTGGCCAAGACTACGAGACGCTCCACGAGATCGGCACGATCTGTATCATGTGTAACGATTCCGCCATCGATTTCAACGAGTTCAAACAGGCGTTCGAGAAAGTCGGCGAGGCAACGGAGACCGCGCTCATCGTTCTCGCGGAGAAAATCAATCCTTACGGTGTCTCGAAGGGCGGGTTGGACAGGCGTAACGCTGCCATCGCTGTGAGGCAAGACATAGAGACGAAATGGAAGAAGGAATTCACCTTGGAATTCTCTCGCGATCGTAAATCAATGTCTTCTTACTGTTCACCCTTGAAACCGACGAAATTGGGCACTGGGCCGAAACTGTTTGTCAAAGGCGCCCCAGAAGGTGTGTTGGACAGGTGCACGCACGCCCGTGTCGGATCTAACAAGGTCCCTCTCACGTCCACTCTGAAGAACCGTATCTTGGATCTGACTCGCCAATACGGCACTGGCCGAGACACCCTGCGCTGCCTAGCCCTTGCCACTGCTGACCACCCGATGAAACCCGACGATATGGATCTTGACGATTCCACGAAATTCTACACGTACGAGAAGGATCTCACCTTCATCGGTGTCGTCGGTATGCTCGATCCGCCCCGCAAGGAGGTATTCGACTCCATTGCCAGGTGTCGTGCCGCTGGTATCCGTGTAATCGTCATTACTGGAGACAACAAGGCCACCGCGGAAGCTATCTGCAGACGTATCGGTGTGTTTGGTGAAAACGAGGACACGACCGGCAAGTCGTATTCTGGGCGTGAGTTCGACGATCTTCCACCGTCGGAACAGAAAGCCGCCTGCGCCAGGGCTCGTCTATTCTCCCGCGTTGAACCTGCTCACAAGTCTAAGATCGTTGAGTTCCTGCAGAGCATGAACGAAATCTCAGCTATGGTAAGTTATTTAGAAGAAGAAAAGGGAAAAGTGTGGACGAGTACTTTATGATAAATTTTATAAGTAAATTGAATCTGATCTCTTTAATTTTGATTTTTCTCTTTCTCTCTCTCTTTCTCTCTCTCTCTCTCTCGTATATTAGACTGGTGATGGTGTAAATGACGCACCCGCCTTGAAAAAAGCCGAGATTGGTATTGCTATGGGTTCTGGAACCGCTGTTGCGAAATCCGCATCTGAGATGGTATTGGCCGACGACAACTTCTCTTCCATTGTCGCGGCTGTTGAGGAAGGTCGTGCGATCTATAACAATATGAAACAGTTCATTCGTTATCTGATTTCTTCCAATATTGGTGAAGTCGTAAGGTCCGTATATAAAGAGTTACTTATCTATTATATATATATATATAAATTAAACGATAAGTAATTTACAAGATTTTCTTCTTGATTGCAGTATATTCTTGACTGCCGCTCTTGGTCTTCCCGAAGCTCTAATCCCTGTACAACTTTTGTGGGTCAACTTGGTCACTGACGGTCTTCCAGCTACTGCGCTTGGTTTCAATCCACCCGATTTGGACATCATGAGCAAGGTAATTCCTTGCTAAGAAATGAAATTAATCCGCGAGAATGTGAAAGGAAGTTGTAATTATGATTATAATATTATAGCCTCCCCGTAAAGCCGACGAATCTCTTATCTCTGGCTGGTTGTTCTTCCGCTACCTGGCTATTGGCGGATATGTAGGTGCTGCGACTGTTGGCTCAGCTGCATGGTGGTTCCTGTACAGTCCGAATGGTCCACAGATGAATTATTATCAGCTGGTAATTATTTTGAAATCAATACGATTCGATACGGAATCGTAACGACAATGGATGTAACTTTCAGACTCATCACTTAGCGTGTATGGGTGGTGGCGAGGAATTCAAGGGCCTTAATTGTAAGATCTTCACGGATCCTCATCCCATGACGATGGCTCTGTCCGTACTTGTAACCATTGAAATGTTGAACGCTATGAACAGGTAAGATTATATAAATAAATCTTTTGTTGTTCATATTTATATTAATTTCTATTTTATTTTTCTTTTAGTTTATCCGAGAATCAATCTCTCATCACTATGCCGCCCTGGTCTAATATGTGGCTCATTGCCTCCATGGCTCTTTCTTTCACACTCCACTTTGTCATCCTTTACGTCGATGTCCTTTCGGTACATAAAGATGCAATGAAAATTGTTGCTCTTGTTTTTATCCTACAATATAACATAATAATTTAAATTTTTATCTGTTTCAGTCTGTATTCCAAGTTACCCCACTGACGAGCGAGGAGTGGGTTACCGTTATGAAGTTTTCCATTCCAGTGGTACTTCTCGACGAAACCCTAAAGTTCATTGCCAGAAAGTTTACAGATGGTGAGAATCCAATTGACTCAGTGCATTCGATCGTTCTAATGTGGGCTGTGTTCTTTGGACTATTAATTATTTATCCCATATAGAACGTCCGTGAAAACAAACATTTAATCTAACAGACAGTGTTTTTCCTATGGAAAACATTTTGCAAATGAGTTCTCGGACTTGCAATTGCATTTAAACAAAAAACCGAAGTTCTTCCCCGTTGCCCGGGAAGCCTCGAAGATAAGTTATTAATTGAAGTGCGTTTAAGTGAGATTTTAACCAGTTTGACTGTTGTGCATGGTGTTAGTACAACCAATACAGATTTGCCACCAAGGCCCACCATGCCCGCATCACACCGTACCCTGAAGTCGCTCTACAATTATATATACGGGTTTCAGTGGCTTCGAGTGATGAAAAAAAGACCCCGCGCAATCAAAACAATTGTGATTGTTAAATTATTTTCTACGAGTGCCTTTTAAACATTAACTTTTCCTTCCCGACAAAAAAGAAACAACATCCATCAATGTTTTTTCTAACCTTGATACATTAGTATACCTGTTCCCCTTAGCAGTCCCCCTTTTCAACACGTATACACCTTGCATGATACTTGAGCACAATGCATTTCTAAAACATTAATTTATTCGTCAACGAGTAATCCTTATGAATTCTAAATAATTGCATCATACTGTTCTATGTGTATTATACATCTGACGATGTCTTAGCGTTTAATGATAACTTAAATTTTTTTTTTTTTTCCTACATTGAGTAAAAATATCACAACTACAGAATACCGAGAATTGTTATTTGAATTGGTTAAAACATCGACAGAATAGAATCCTAGAAAGCATGTTATACCAATCATATTTTACGGTAGTTCTATTTTTGAACTTTTCTAACGCACAGCAGTTCACACTACACAATTCTTTTTTTTTTCTTTTTTTTTTTCATTTTAGTTTATTTGAAAAATATTCTTAGATGTTTTATAATTTCCTTTCGTAATTTATTTCTTTTTTATTTCTATTTTTATTTATCTTTTTACTTCTATCTTTCTAACTCTAACCGCTTTTATTGTTGCTTGTTTTTTTAAAAATTTGTTATTGTTTATTAATCCCCAGCATCTGGAGTGATCAAGACGTCAAAACTGGAATTGTCCGCTTCGTTGCTAACGTGTGAACGCAGAGATTGTGCATGAAGTTTAAAAATTAATGGATCTCATGTTTGAACCTGTCTATTATTATGTCTTCCTTCCTTCGACGAGTAATTGCATGCACAATTGTATTCTACCAATGGTACATCCCAACTAAAAGAAAGGGAAAAAAATATCCACTAACCTCGTAGAACAATCACTGTCAATGGTTAGCAAATCCTGCTGTGCTTCACCGTTCACTCATCTCCATGATGATACTCAATTGTTTCACCTGTTACGACTCTATTAATCGATATTTAGCCTGGTTCAAGTAAGACTCAACTACAAATAAAGAACAACTATTTACAGGTAAAGAATAAAATTTCTATATATATATATATATATATATATACACATATACATATATATTTATTTTTTTAATTTTCATATAATTACGT